GCAGGAGCCCTCCCTCACGCCCTGCTTGCCTTGGCGCGCAGGCGCGGCGGGCGGCGCAGGCGCGCGGGGCCGTGCGCAGGCGCGGCGGGTCCGCTCCGTGTGGCGGCGGCGGCGGCGGCGGCGCTGGTGGTGGCGGCGGCCCCGCCCGCCCGTCCTGCCCGGGGCCCGCGGGGAGAGCGGGGACGGCGGTGAGTGCGGCCCCCTCAGCCTCCCCTCAGCTCCCCCACAGCCTCCCCACCGCCCGCCGAGCCGCGGGGGGGGCGGCTCCAAGGGGGGCGCGGGCAGGGCCGGGCGGCGGCGGCGGGGCCGGTGCTCCCCCGCGGGGCCCGGGCGGCCCCGCTCCGCTCCGCGCACACACAAAAGGCGATTCCCCCCGCTCCGGGACCTCCCCTGGTCGGCCTCTAATTAATTGGGTGCTTTCGCTGGAGCCGTGAGTGTTGGCGAGGCGCGAGTGATTAGAATAATGGGAGCTTGTTGGTGGCGATAGGTTGGTATCGTTTGAATCTTAATTGTTTGGTGTCGGCGCTGCGCGTGTGTTTGTGCTGGAATACCAAAAGCGAAACTGTCGCTTTCAAAATGCGAGAGAGACTTCGATTTTATAGGAAAAAAAAATAAAAAAAAAAACTATCAGGTTTCATTTTTCTGCCGTGTGACTCCCAGCCTGAATCTATCTACCTGTCTGTGCTTGTCAGTGGGATTTTTGTTTGCCTGTGATTGAAATAGGAAGCCCGAACGTTTTTGGCTAGCTTGACTCAATAAACAGCATTTTCAGTGCAGTTTTAGTCTCTGAAGTCTTCTGAGGGAAAGAAAAGGCAGGGTTAAGCATCAAGTGGGGTACTTTTTCATGCATGGAGATGATTTGGTAGGGACTTTTTTCATGATGCAATTTTTTTAAGTTGAATACTTGGTCCATTTTTAAATTTTTAGTTTTTGTTGAAGGAATGGACTATAGGTTGTGAGCAATTATGTTTACAGGAACTTTCTATTAAGAGTTAAAAGCACTGAAACATTGGGAATAGTAAGCTAAAAAAGAAGAGTGGATGTTATTTGATATTGCAGACTTGACTCTTGAAGTTCCCCAGGAAGGGAAAAAGTCTTGTTTGGGTTTTTATTATTTATTTGGAGTCATTCTAACTGGCTAAGGGGAACATATTATTGTTTAATTATGATATTCCATAGTTATGATGTATGTTATAGTTATATTCTATATCATAACTATTCAATAGCACTTTGTTAACTAGAGAAATGTATGAGGGATTTAAGTGAGCTTTAGCTGTGCTGAGGGTTTTGAATTATTTGAAACATTTTAAGTAACTACCAAACCACAATAAGTGAGTTCTTGCTACAAGGTAGGCTTTCTAATGGTAACTAAATAGTTTCAGCTGCAGAAGTGTTTTTACCTTCCCTGAATGTCTGTTTTTGTGTGTTTCTTTAGAGCGTGCTGTAAAACCCTAGATCAGTGAGAATGCACCATGGTAATGGTCCTCAGAATGCCCAGCGCCAGCTCCAGAGGTCCAGGTCCTTCACAGGCAGTGAGGGAGAAGAACAGCAGGCAAATCTCCCCCAGTCCCCCGCAGCTTCCTTTGCGCCCTCTGCGAGTCCATCTGCCCCCCAGTCCCCCAGCTACCAAATCCAGCAGTTCATCATGAGCCGGAGCCCGGTGGCGGGGCAGAACGTGAACATCACTCTGCAGAACGTGGGCCCCGTGGCCTCGGGGAACCAGCAGATAACCCTGACCCCGCTGCCGCTGCCCAACCCCACGTCCCCGAGCTTCCAGTTCAGCCCCCAGCAGAGGCGGTTCGAGCATGGATCCCCCTCCTACATCCAGGTCACGTCCCCACTGCCCCAGCAGGTGCAGTCCCAGAGCCCCACTCAGCCCAGCCCTGTGCCGGTGCAGACGCTGCCCAACGTCCGGGCCGGCACGCCGGGCCCCGGCCTGGGCATGTGCAGCCAGAGCCCCACCAGGGGCTTTGTGGATGCCAGCGTGCTCGTCAGACAGATCAGCCTGAGCCCTTCCAACGGGGGACACTTCGTGTACCAGGAGGGGCCGGGAATCGCGCAGATTGCCCAAGGAGCCGCTGCGCAGGTACAGCTTCCATCCTCGGGGGCGCCGGCCACGGTGAGGGAGCGCCGGCTGTCGCAGCCCCACTCGCAGTCTGGGGGCACCATCCACCACCTGGGCCCTCAGAGCCCCGTGGCCAGCGGGGCCAACATGCAGTCCCTGACCAGCCCGGGCCACATCACGACGACCAGCTTGCCACCCCAGATCAGCAATATC